TCCGAGGTGGCCTCGCCGACCTCGAAGCGCCTGGCGTGCAATATCCCGATGTTGCCAACATACACATAGTGCAGTGCGTGGCCTGCGGCCGCCTCTGGTGGCAGCGCCATCAGAGGCGCGCCCCTGTCATGGAGCGGGGCGCCCAGAGGGATGGAGGCGCCCTGCGCAGTCGAGAGCTCGTTTATGCGCTGCGCAACCCAGAGACCCCATGTGAATCCCATCGGCAGCACGGCCCACGCGGGATAAACTGGCGAGGCCCTGCCCAGGTGACGCCCGCCCACGGCAAACCCCTCGAGCCCGCAGACGTGCGCCGGGACCGCAGGCAGCCCGAAGTACGCCGACATCTCGGGCCTCAGCTTCAAGCAATGGAAGCAGTTGGACACGTCCGACGTACCCGCCACGAGCCTGAGCGTGTCAAGGTACTCGACGGCCTCTGGACTCTGCGGCGTCATCCCGGCTGGCAGCACCACTTCACCACGGCTGAAGCCCTCAGCTGTCAGCGCATCCACTCCGGGCGGGTCGCCAAACACCTCATTCACACGGCGAGCGTCGACGATCAGTCTAAGCGACTTGCCATCGCTCTTGAGAACACAAAACAACCCTATCTGACACTTCGGCGTCACGGCCCAATCCGCCATGCCGATGTCGAAAAGCTTCCGAACTAGACGCTGGTACTCTTTCTGATGGAACTTTAAGTTGGGGCCCAAGTAAGGCTCGATCTTAGGCAAGACGCCCCCCTGCCGCAGCATGCGCCCCCGATGATCCAACAAGTCCTTAGCGACCTCCTGCGGCGCCACCTCATCAGCGCAACGGGCGGCTCCGAACGGACTTTGGCAACGAAATGCGGTCGAGCTTGAAGGGCGCGACGCGGGTGGGGGTCACTCCCGCCTCGCGCGGCGAATGGCCGCGCAGCATCCGCCTGAGGGCTGCAGTCGCTGTGGGAGCTGAGTCCGGGCGCCGGCCCGATGCCAATCCTCGAACTCGCTCATGTAGTAGCCGCTGGGCATCATCCATGGGAAGGGGCCTCTCGCCCGCTCGATGCCCTGCCAGCCAATTAAGTGCATTGATCGCCTCGCTCGCCGCGCCGATCTCCAGCTCCCCCCGGCGCCCGGCACGCGCGGCGCTTGCTGAAGCACCTGCCAAGGAGGGCGGCACGTCCAGCAGCTGCGCAGGGAAGGGATCCCGCGGCCTTCGTCTGGCCGCAACGCGGCCCGAGGCGGCCCCTAGAGCTCGGCCGAGGTCGTGGCTATCCTCGGCCAGCCCCCTGCACATCCTGAGGCGGGGGGGGGGCGCCTGCTCCGCGGCTTCTGTCGCCGCGCCCGCGCCCGCCCCCGCCGCGCCCCCCTCCGCCGCGACCTTCGCCGCCGTCATCAGCGCCACCGACAGCTGGGCCGCCGGCGCCAGGCTCGACTGGGGATCCCCGCGACCTGCTGGCGCCGGCCTCGCAGGCCCCCCTGGCTAGCACGAACGCGAAGCTGCGCATCGCGAGGCCGACCACGGCCCCAAGCGACATCTGGCCTGTGCAGTAGCGGGTCAGGTTCCAGGCCGGCCTGGATGGATTGACCCAAGTCGCCACAATGCCTGCCGTGCGTCGACATATCGCCTCGAAACAGGGCAGTTCGCCGACGTCGACCTGGTCGGCGATACTGGGCAGCCAGTGGGACTTCACCAGGGCGCGCAGCTCACGTGCGACCCTGTCTGTCGAGGTGATATCCCCCTCTCTCGCAACCACTCCAGCGGCCCAAAGCGGGGATCTCCTCCTGTCTGTAGCCTGAGCTTTCCCCTCGGCAGCGCGACCGGAGGGCCCTCCATGCGCTGCATCTCGTACGTTTCGCTGCTGCTCCCCTGCGCTACCTGCTCCCAAGTCCTGTAGCGGCCGCCCTGGCCGTCGTAGTCGATCACCAGGGTCAGCAGGTCGCTCGTCTCGGCAGTCCCATCTGCAGCGGGAGCCGCTGGGGGAGTATCCCTTCCCCTGACGGCCTCAAGGAAAGTATTCCCGAGCCTGTTGCGGAGGTCAGACTCGTATACGCCCAGCACCATCATGATGGCCCCCAGGTTGTCCTTCAGCTTCCCACAGCGGTGTTTCGTGAAGCCGGGGATTACTTGGGGTGCCAAACATTCGACTCGCCGCCAATGGTCATCTAACCTCGCAGCCTCAGCACGACCACCCGGCGCCAGGAGCAACCTCGTCCCAGCCTCGATCTCCGCACCGATGGCATGCCGACCCGAGGGCCCCGTCAGCACACAGACGTTGTCAACGCCCACTGCGGCGGCCTCCACCTCTCGAGCCATCCGCTGCGTCACCAACAGCTCCTGCGCGACAGTCTCCTACGGCACTCGCTCACAGGCGGGGGTCGACACCGACAACACCTCGGGTACATAGCGGCCAAGCTCGGCGCGAAGCATTGCTCGCCCGTCCCTCATCAGCTCTTCCAGGGCACCGATGGTGGGGTAGTCGCGGGAGCGGTCAGCTCTCAGCGTGGACCCGTCTGGCACCGTACCCACATCGTCCAGCAGGGTAGTGTTGAGCCCCCCCCCCCCAGTCGGAATTCTTCAACATGGGATCCACGTAGACGTCTCCGGCTAAGCTGAAGTCGCACCACATCCTCTCGTCCACAGGCCACAACAGCATTCTCTCGCGAGCCACTGTGCCGCCCTCGAACGCCGTCATAGAGAGGGCCCCTGGCAACAGGTCACGCCACCACGCCGCCCCCACGACGCGTCGGAGCAGAACCATGGACACAGCGGGGCCGGCAACACTGGTTCCTCACGAAACGCCAGAACTGCCGGACCCCGAGGATGAAGCACGCTCCCGCGCCGGCAAACTGCCACGGGTCTGGCTCCGCCGTGCAAGGCGGGACCGCTGGGCAGGGCAGGCAGCTCACGTCTGGGCACCCTCCGCAGACGATCTCAGAACACGCCTCTCGCTCGTGGCCTCCCGCAGACGTCTCGGGCTCTGGGGACAACCACGCCGACAGCAGTCCCCGCGCCAGTTGGCCCGCCTCCACGGCGAGGATGGCCCACACGGGATACAGGGGGCCCTCTGAGCACAAAAACAGGGGGTTACGGAGAGAAACTGTAGTGACAATGGGATAAGTCTCTCTCAACCTTCAACGCAAGCACAGACAGTTCTGAGCGTCTTTCTGTAGCGACAAAGCGGATAAGCCACTCTCGACCTTCACGTGCAAGCACAAACATGTATATAGATGCGTGTGTGTGTGTGTGTGTGTGTGTGTGAGTGCGTGTATGTGTGCAAATATGTGTTAAGTTTTGAATATAGATATATCATTATCCCAGTGCGACCCTACCTAGGAGTTGGAGCCCCTAGGAAAGCAGCATTAGTAGTAACAGTAAAGCTAAGCTAAAGCTAAGCTAAAGCTAAGCCCAAGCTAAGCTGAAGCTAAGCTAAAGCAAAGCTAAAGCTAAGCCAAAGCTAAGCTAAGGCTAAGCTAACACTGAGCTACAGCTAAGCTAAAGCTAAGCTAAAGCTAAGTTAAAACTAAACTAAAGCTAAGATAAGGCTAAGCTAACACTAAGCTAAAGCCAAGTTAAAGCTAAGCTAAAGCTAAGCTAACGCTAAGCTAAAACTAAGCTGAAGCTAAGCGAAAGCTAAGCTAAAGCTAAGCTAAAGCTAAGCTAAAGCTAAGCTGAAGATAAGCTGAAGCTAAGCTAAAGCTAAGCTAATGCTAAGCTAAAGCTAAGCTAAAGCTAAAGCTAAGCTAACGCTAAGCTAAAGCTAAGTTGAAGCTAAACTGAAGCTAAGCTAAAGCTACGCTAAAGCTAAGCTAAAGCTAAGCTAAAGCTAAGCGATCACTAAGCTAAAGCTAAGCTAACACTAAGCTGAAGTTAAGCCAAAGCTAAGCTAAAGCTAAGCTATCACTAAGCTAAATCTAAGCTAAAGCTAAGCTAAATCTAAGCTAAAGCTAAACTAAAGTTAAGTTAAAGCTAAGCTAAGGCTAAGCGAACACTAAGCTAAAGCTAAGCTAAAGCTAAGCTGAAGCTAAGCTGAAGCTAAGCTAAAGCTAAGCTAAAGCTAAGCTAGCACTAAGCTAGCACTAAGCTAAAGCTAAGCTAAAGCTAAGCTAAAGCTAAGCTAACACTAAGCCAACGCTAAGCTAAAGCTAAGCTAAAGCTAAAGCTAAAGCTAAAGCTAAAGCTAAGCTAAAGCTAAGCTAAAGCTAAAGCTAAGGCTAAAGCTCCCAGGGGACTGGGGGAACCGCGGGGCGGGGACTGGGGGAACCGCCCGGGGCGGTTTCCATTGCCCGGCCCTTTAAGCTAAGAGAGTAAGAACCCTTCTAGGCAGAGCCTAGGTAGGGAAAAATACATGGATTCCTCTTTTCCTCCTCCTCCTCCTCCTCCTCCTCCTCCTCCTCCTCCTCCCTCTCTCTCTCTTTTTCTGTATGCCTCCGCGTCGCTCGTTCACTGCGCCTCTCTTTTCGGCTTCATTCTGGACTTCCAAAGCTTCTGCACCACGGAGGCCCCCTTCACGTGTAAGCACCAGCAGCGGATGTCGACCCCCCCCGTGCCTCGCAGCCCCGAGCGAGGCAGGCCAGCCCCGACCGGGGCATGCTGACCCGCGGCAGGCCGTGCGACAGACCTCCGCCGCCGCGGGCAGATCGTGGCGTCGGGCTCCAAGGCCCGTCTGCCCCGCCTCTCCATGCGGGACTCCCCTCGGGTGTGCTCCGAAGAGCGGGGGCTAGGAAGAGGCGGGTTGGCATGGGCTGGCGCATCATGGCCCGAGGCATGTGCGCGACAGAAGAGGGGGCCAGAGGACGTGTCGAAAGAGGAAGAGGGGGCCATGGAATCTGGGAGGTATCTTGTGGCCCAGGGCAGGATTTATCCGCCTAGTCTTCGCCGCCCCCGATCTCCGCGCTGGGCGCCGATCTACGAAGGCTCCGCAGAGGGCCCCCTGGAAGCCGAAGCGCGATCCCCTCACGGCGCCCGAGGTCAGGAAGCCATTGTCGGCACGTCGGCGCCCGCTTTTCGCCCGCCGGCTGTGGTCAAGGGACCAACCCTGCTCGAACGACCCGAGCTTCGCCGCACGCTCCGCGGGGTCCGTCCGCTTCGCGTCTACGTGACCTGGGCGTCGAAGGACGCAGGCGTCTGCACCGAATACATGGTCTGGCCGCTTGCGTCTCGGCTGAGTGGGTGCCCCTCTCGGCTGAGCCCCCCCCCCCCGCCCTCAGCACCCCAAGGCAAAAGAAACGAGAGAACGCCAAGGAACGATCTTGCAGAACGTCGACGCTCAGGGCCCCAGACGGCCTCCCGAAACCGGCCTCCCTCGTTCCCCCTCCCACTTGCCTTTCTCCCAATTCCTCCTCCTCTGCCTGTCCTGCCTCCTCAAACTCCTCATCTACGTCTCTTTCGTTTCCTCCTCCACCTTTCTTGAATGCTGCGCGCTGCTACCCGCATCCGGTCATAGATCGAAGACGGGTAAAGGCGAAACGATACGATGGGCCTTAACGGCCTGAAATCAACAGGGCGCCTGGGGGGGACGGGGAATGGAACGCCTCCCCAAGTCACAAACCACACTCCATCACTTCATTTTCTTCCCGCCATTTTCTTCCCGACCGAACCGATAGCGAAACCGAAACCGACCTAAATCGAACAGGAGCGTGCATAACCGAATCAGCCGACCGAAACCGACCGAACGCAAAACGACGAACGACCGAAGCGACACCGAAGCTGGAATCGAAATCGAAACGACGCTAAAACCAAAGGGCCGATGCGTTTCTTTTAGACTGCGCACGCGCCTCCTGTGCTTCCGAAGAACTCTCGAGGCCGACTCAAGCCCCCAGGATTCGAAGGATGGGTCCAAGGGCTTCCTCCTGCCACTCCCTTGGCCCGCAGGCCCCTGGGGGCCCGAATAAGGCACTTCTGGCCGTCCAGAAATGTGATTCTGGCAGACATTCCTCGCCGAAAACCCGCCCCCGCCCCGCGGACCTCTGGGGGCGCCAAAATACATGTTTGAACCGTCTGGCAAATCAATGTTCGCTTTCCTGGCCGTCCCCGCGCGGCCCCGGAGGCGCTCCTTCCCGCAGGGGCCTCCCGCGTCCCGCGGGCCCCTCGGGGAACGAAAATAATGTTTGATTCGTCCCGAACGACATGCGATTCAAACATTTCGCAAGTCTCTCCGGCTCTGCCCGCATGGCCCCAAGGACTCTCTTTCTCGCCGAGGCCCCTCCTGTCCCGCGGACCCCTTGGGCAGCGACCAGCGAATCGGAAAATGCCATGTCTTCGGCCCTGCCCGCGAGGCCACAGGGGCTCTCCTTCCTGCCGAGGCCCCCCTGCGGACCCCTGCGTGCGCAAAAATGCTTTTGAGCCTTCCACAAGTGCGACTCTGGCTTTGTCAGCCGTCCCCGCGCGTCCCCGGAGGTTCTCCTTCTCGTCCAGCCCCCCGTCCCGTAGGCCCCTGGGGGCCCGATCACTATGTTTGAACCGTCCGAATCCGAACATTCGATTCTGGCATCTCCAAATAACTTTCAGCTCTGACCGAGGGGCGTCTGGGTGCTCCTCTTCTCGCTCGCCGAAGCACCCGTCGGGATAGAATGCTCTGGCTTGTTCAATGCCCTTCCGCCCCAAACCTCCTCCTTCTCCTCCTCCTCTTCCTCCTCCTCCTCCTCTTCCTCCCCCTCCCGCTCCTCCTCCTCCTCCTCCTCCTCCCCCTCCCCCTCCTCCTCCTCCTCCTCCTGCTCCTCCTCCTCCTGCTCCTCCTTCTCCTCCTCCTCCTCCTCCTCATCATCATCATCATCATCCATTCCTTTCCCTCATAATTAACTACTCCCTGCCGCACCCGAGGCTAGCTTTTAGAGCGGGCCGGGCGTTTCGCTTAAGACTCCCTCACCGCTTAAGACCGTTAAGCATAAAAACTGACAACAAATTCACAGATGGAGGGCGGGTCGCTTTCAACGTGTGGCTCTCGCCTTGGTGCCGCGCACATTCGTTTTCAACATTTGCAAAAGCTTTACGGATTGTAAGCGGGTGGTTTTCAAAATGTGGCTCTCGCCATAGCGCCGCGCACATTCTTTTTGAACGGTTGCAATTATTTCACGGATTGAGGGCGGGTGGTTTTCAACATGTGGCTCTCGCCTTAGCGCCGCGCACATTCGTTTTCAAACTTAGCACGAGATTTGCGGATTTAGGGCAGCTCCTTTTCAACATGTGGTTCTCGCACTCGCGTCGCGCACATTCGTTTTCAAACTTTGCAACACTGTCACGGATTCCCATGGTCAACGTATCAGAAGCGGCGTTTTGGAAATATTCATGATTATTCGAGTACAACAGTTGCGTTGGTTTGCAGTGTTGAAGTCTCAGGAATGGCGTTCTGGCACGATTCAGGCTCACCAAGACGCAACAGTCAGGTTCATCCGTGGCGTCGGGCTCTGGAAAACGTTGTTTTGGCATGTTTCAGGGTCTTCAAACGGTTGTCTTCCAACGAGGCAGTTCCCCCAGTGGAAATGCACCGCTGCAGGGGTCTATGGAGAGGGAGCTTAGAGGGAGGGTTGATTCCAACATCGTTGATGACTCTTGGGTTTACACTAATCCTCCTCCTCCTCCTCCTCCTCCACTTCTTCCCCCCCCTCCTCCTCGATTCCCCCAAGAGCCCCTCGAACACTGCCCCTGGCGCCCGCCCCAGCGCGGCCGCGGTATGGAGCGGAAGTGCTACTGGATTATCATCAGCCTCCGGATATCCCGCAGACACCCGCGAAGCGCCCGCAAGGCGCACATGGCCGCCCACCAAGCGATATCCCGCCGCGCCCGCCCAACGCACGAGGCGCCCGCGAGGCGCCCGCGAGGCGCCCGCGGCGAAACCGAATCAACCGAAGCAACCGACGAGGACGCCACGATGCAGGGGCCGCGCAACAACAGAACTGACCGGAAGGATCGATTCCAACCTGCGGCGAAGCAACCGAACCGACCGAATCGTCCTCGTTCTCCTCCTCCTCCGAGGAGGAGGAGGGCTCCGCTTGGGCGGCTGCCGCTCGAGGTCCGCCCCCCCACCCCGCCCCACCCCCCGGAGAGCAACCACCCCGCGGCCCCAATCTAAGAGATCGCGGCCCCTCCAAGAGTTCGCTGGGCCAAAAGCAAATGTAAAAATGCTGGAGAGGGGAAGGACGGCGGGGCGTGTGGGGGAGGGAGAAGGAGAACGAAAATACCGCGAGAGGGTCGGGATACGCACCCCGCACCGCGACGCGGGAGGCACTCTGTAAATTGGACGGCAGTGGTCAGATGCCGCTGGCATTGGAGCACGATATCTCCAAACCCACGGCGAACAGAACAACTGCCACGACGGCAAGGACGAATACCAAGGCCAAGCCAAAGAGAATACAGGCAGATAACGGATATTGTCACTTGCTGTGCGAAGTGCTCGGGTACCCAGCCGAAGAAAACTAAACTTACTGGCCAACGCAAACTGGACTCACTCCAAAAGCAGTCCGTGAATGCTATCATTCAGGCCAATTAACTCGGTCGATGACCCAGCTGAACACGAGTAAGTGGCGTCGCGGGTTCGGATGTGCGCGCCGTCGTGCTGATCACAACCAGGCCGAGATGTTGGAGCGCGCGCGCCTGGCTTCAGAGAGGCCCAGTGGAGAGGGAAGATCGAATCACCCAGCCCCGCGCTGGAGGGCGCCATCCGCGGTCACAGCCTGAGTATCGCTTTGGACTCTCAACGATGGCAAGCATGACCAAAACGTTTTCTCGCAAATGCGCCTGCAGAATTAGCTCAACGCGTCTCTAGAACCGCGATCGTTACGGGAAGATTTGCTCACGTCTCCACTGGCGCGCCTTCTGCCGCAATTTATCGTCTGCCTGGCGGTCCGACACCCGACCACTGGTAGCTTCTGAAGGGGTATCTGGTATAGCTACTGGCGGAAGAAATGCGTGAATTACTGTCGGACGTAGACGCAATACGCGCTGGAGCTAAAAGAGGGCCTGGTCACGGAAAATGACTGAAGCGCCCTATCTTCGCTCCGAAATGGCCCCGCTGTTTTGCGGGACGCTCTGTCTCACTTTGGGCGGCTCATTGTTTCGAAGCTCGAGGGCGGTCGCGTGTTATCGGCCACCGTTCCTTCAGCGCGTGGTAGGGGTGCCCCAAGGCTCATGCTGTTCTGAGAAGTAGATCAGACGTGGTGCACATTCTCTTAAGGGTCTGGTTTGCGGAATTCACAAGGTTGCTGGGCGCTCCCGGGGTTTCTCGCGTGCCTCTCTGGGGCGGTGTCCCCGCCCAAAACGACCCAGAGAAACGTCCAGGCTGTCCTGGGCCCCGAGACTGCCCACGATGCCATCGAGGTGGCCCAAGAGGTCCCGAAGGCGCCACAAGAGGGCGTCAAGGGGCCACAAGAACAGGCACCGAGGGGCCATCATCATTGATTCCCATCAGTGTTTGACAGATTTCAGCGTTCTCGCCCTGTCTGGCTTTCGACGCTACAGGGCGGCCTAAGAGGCCACGAAGATCGCCGCAAGACTGCCCCACGACTACCAAAGAGGCCCCAAAGAGGCCCCCAAGAGGGGCCCAAGAGGGGGATCACGAACTGATATTTTGTGCCCTCCGCCACAAGATGAATCCCCCGAGACCGCCAGCAGGCCTCCAAGAAGCCCCCCAGAGGCTCCAGGAGGTCCCCAAGAAGCCCACCAAGACATCCCAAACCGCATCCAAGAGGCTTACGGGAGGCCTCCTACGAGATCCACGCAGGCATCCAGGAGGCCTGTAAAATACAGCGCAGGCACTGGTGGCGCGACGGGACGAAGGCCACTAAAGATACAGATGCTGTGTATTACACATCTGCTCCAGCCCTCAGTCCTTCAGGGCTTTTGAGCAGCATTGGCAACGTGCCCTCGTGTGCAGCAGGAGAGGGAGCCCGCTCCGCAAGGAGACTGGAGTCTACGGAGCCGACCTCCACGGGACAAGGAGGGGGCACACCACTCAAAGTCTAGATTCGTAAGACAGATGGGCGCGCCTTGCCAAACGCTTGTGGAGCTAACTGTATGGGAAAACGGGGGCAAGAAGCCCAGTCAGGGGTAGTCTTGTCAGTGTCATCGCGCCGCACTAGGACACCTCCATCACCAACATCTACAAAAATAAGAAGAACCCCTTCGCAACGAAAGTGTCGCGAATTGCGGCGCCACGTGCAAGGGAGACACATAACTACAACATGTTGCCACCTGGCCAGAGCTATCTCGGAAACGTGGCCGGTAAACTAAATCAGGGAAACCTTCTCGTTACGTTACGTGGCACACATGCTGGGTTGCCGTACCAGGAATGGCAAAGTCATCCACCATCCAATGCGATACGCATCAGATGCCGGCTGGGGCCTCCTGCTGGGATTGGTGGGCGAAAGATGGAAATGCTCCCCCACAGCCATCCGAACAGATCACGCATGCTGCAGGGAGGCTGTGGCAGTGGGCTACAACACTGGTGGTTGGTGTTCGTGACTGGTCCAGCAGGCGCCACTGGGGCGCGCCGACCAAACGTGGTGTTGGCAGATACCGCCGCAGGCTGCGGCTTGAAAACAAGAACAACATGCTGAGCAGGCCTCGCACATCGAGAACGATGAGGAGGATGAGGAGGAGGAAGAGGAAGAGGAAAAAGAGACGGAAGCTGAGAAGGCTTGTGGTGACTCACGTTTTGGTGAACGTCTTGGCGGTTCTCCGTCTCTCGAACCCTGCAAGCTTAGCCCACGGACGCGGCACAAGTCAATCCCCCCGCTACGAGGTCGTCTCGAAGCCCCATCCTCTGGGCTGCCGAAAGCAATTTGACAAACCCGAAGGAAGTGCGCACCTGCTGATCGCTGGCGAGGTGGATTGATTTTTACCATAAGGTGAAAAGTGCATCAAAGCACCTGTGATACTGGCATGCTTTCCCCCCCCTCGATCCTAGTTGGGCAAGCGTGGGTCCTCATTGTGCTGGGCATATCACTGACTAATCACAACTACTGGGACACCACATGTATATTTACTGGCCAGCAGGGATTATGCAAGCATGCAGCCCTGCTCAAGCAAGCAGTTGCCCGTAGATACTTTGCTCTTGTTTGTGGATCGGCGGGGCCAATATGGAAATATGATATACCACAGAAGACCCTCGCTGCAAGGGAGGGTCGCCCAATGTCCTCGCCCAAGCGGCCGGCATCTCTGCGCGGCGACCTTCCTGCGCTCTGGCTCCCCTACCTGGGAAGCTGTGGTCAGAACCCCGCCAGTCTGCCGCCCCCTGCACCCCAGAAGTGAGGAGGAAGAGCAGCAGCAGCAGCAGGAGGGTACCCCGCTCGCCCACAACCGAGCAAACACCCAGTGGCCCGCAGGAGCGCAGCCACGGATCGAAAAGCTCAGTGCACCGTGGGCCCGCATCCGTCGGCGACCAGCATGTAAGAGCCTATGAACGGCCTCAGCCTCTCCACCTGAGGCCGCCTCGTTTGCAGCGTCGCTGACGTGAGGGCATGGCGGACAGTACCAGGCAATGCCTGCGGCTTGGAACACATGGACGGTCATGCCAAAGTCTCAGGCCTTCAGGTGGTGTGCACGTTGCCCAGAAGCATTGCATCCAGGAACTAGCTCACACATCCACGTTTGGATCTGCTCTGGGAGACATGACCATGACCACAACATGATACGAGTGATCTGTACCCGGACCCAGCCAGTTGTTCAACGTTCGTGAAGGTCCCTGCGTGCTGAACATGTGCTCGCATGTGTATCCCTATACGCTTGAATATCAAATCTTGCCGTTCGTTCCAAACGGGTCGCCAGAACAGAGTATTGATTGACACAGGCCCAAACCCGACGCCACATACTTTTTCCTGGCAACTGTCTCGATAATTTCGACAGTGCCGAGCGCCCTAACACACACTGTGGTACCAAATGCATGCTCGGAGTCGAAGCGCAACGAAGACCACATCCAAAAACAACGAAACGGTGCAAGACGAAGATATGGAAGATGAGTAGAAGAGGGAGGAGGCGAAAGAGCGCAGCCCACGCGTGAACAAACCGACTGCCCCTGATAGCTGGCGTTGGACCCGGATGTCCCCCCACGGACGCAGCACCCGAAAAGGGAGCGCAGCAGAGTTTTGCTTTGACATGGGTCAGCGTCAAGCCCTGTCTCCCGAGAACCTGGCCGCAGCAGCGACGAAGGAGAACCGACGACGGGCCCGAAAGAGGCGAGGTGAAGGATCAAGAGACTGGGAGCGCAGCAAGGAGGATAGGAGAGGAGGCGGGAGCGGAGGGGACACGCTGAGAGGTCAAGAACATCCAGGCCGACGTGCCCCCGCGAGCGCCAGTTCCGAGCCCCAGACGGGGCGAGAAATGAAAAGCCAACAAAAGTTAGCCCGAGGAAGCGGCGGTAGCAAAGGTAGGAGGGGCGGGAGACGAGAAGGGGCAGAGGCGGGGGCAGACCCGGACTTCCAATGACCCAGAAGCCACATCAAGTGAATCGAATTCTAACCATATCAGATCCTGACGATGAAGAACGCGACGGGCTGAACAGGCAATCGAAGTCGATACGTGGGAGATCGGCAAGCGAACAAAGTGGAGCTGATATGGTGAACCACAGGAAAGCATTAGTTAGCAACCATGAGCGATTGAAGGGCAACGGCCCGTACATACGGATTCAGACGTGCATCTCCATACACACATACGCAGGTGCACATACATACATCGTACCAGGCCGCAAACATACACTGGCATGGTAGCAACATGCGTGCGCATGCATACATAGGCACCCAAGCACGTGCACATATATAACACCGCATGTGAGTGACATACCCGATGTATGACAATGGGTACGGCTACCAAGTAACAATGAATGCAACAACATGCATGTCCATCTTCTGGCATATGCTACGAGCATGCGCGCACGGGTAGTCTACATACGCACAGCCATGCCCGACACCGTACAACGCATGCGCACACGTCATACATGTTGTACTTGAATATGCGACGTGCGCATGTGTTCCCTAGTGCGTGTGCAGAATGGTCGCGTGCACATGTCGGAGCGAATGTGAATACTAGAAACACACATATATACTAGAACCACGCGCGCGCTTCGCGCGCGCTTAGGTTCTGTCGAGTCACAGACCCAGGAATCCTCCTCCTCCTCCTCCTCCTCCTCCTCCTCCTCCTCGTCTTCCTCCTCATCCTCGTCCTTTCCCGAGCGATACAATAACAACTTGCGTGGAACCCCTCTCGGGCCCATCTTGGGGCTCTCTTTGGCCGCCTTTGGAGCCTCTTGGGGCGTCCTGGGTCTCTCGTGGGGGCTTCTTGGAGCTCTCTTGGCGCTTCTGGAGCCTCTTGGGGCCGAAAGCTCGGAATTCTACAGTGGCTTTCTCCCTCTGGGACCCCTCTCGGGCACGCCTTGGGGCTCTCTTAGGCCATTTTGGAATCCAATTTTGCCGTCCTGGGCGCCTCGTGAACCGTCTTGGAACTCTCTTGGGGGCCACCTAGGCCGTCTTGGGAGCCTCTTCGGACGTGTTGGACGCGGTGAAAACCCAACAGGCGACCATGCGAAAAGTATACGTTTTCCCATAGGAATGGGACCATTTTTGCTTCTTGGACCTCTCTTGGGGTGCCTCTCGGAACGTCTTGGGCTGATTTTGGAAGCCTTTTGGCGCCTCTGGGCGGCGTTTTGGCGCCTCCTGGGATGTGTTGGGCCGGAAGCTCGGAATTCGAGAGTGGCTTTCTCCTTCTGGGACCCCTCTCGAAGTCGTCTTGGGGTTCTCTTGGGCCGTCTTGGGGCCGTCCTGAGCCACTCGTGCGCAGCCTTGGAGCGCTCCCGGAGGCCTCCTAGGCCGTCTTGGAGGCCTCTTGGGCCGTCTTGGACGCGGTGAAAGCCCAAGATGCGAACATGCGAAAAATATACGTTTTCCCATAGGAATGGCACGATTTTTGTTTCTTGGACCTCTCTTGGGGTGCCTCTCGGAACGTCTTGGGGTGCTTTTGGGAGCCTTTTGGCGCCTCTTGGCGGCATTTTGGCGCCTCCTGGAGCCTCTTGGGCCGGAAGCTCGGAATTCGAGGTTGGCTTTCTCCGTCTGGGACCCCTCTCGAACTCGTCTTGGGGCTCTCTTGGGCCGTCTTGGGGCCGTCCTGGGCCACTCGTGCGCAGCCTTGGAGCGCTCCCGGAGGCCTCGTAGACCGTCTTGGGCGCCTCTTGGGCCGTCTTGGACGCGGTGAAAGCCCAAGAGGCGAACATGCGAAAAATATACGTTTTCCCATAGGAATGGCACGATTTTTGCTTCTTGGGCCTCTCTTGGGCTGCCTCTCGGAGCGTCTTGGAGGCTTCTGGGACCTTCTTGGTGTCATGACAGGCGTCTTGGAAGGCATCTGGAGCCATCGGAGCGCGTTCCGAAGCCGCCTGCGAACGATCTTGGACGGCGTCCGGCGGTCCGACGAGCCTCCGGGCCCCCCGGGGCCCACATTTGTGGTCGAGGTCCCGGCCCCGGGCCCCCGGACCCAGTGCGCCGTTATATGTATACATACATGCATATGTATATGTGTGGCGACGTGTAGGTAGATGTAGCTGTGCACGTAGATGCCCACGTGTATGATGTGTACATCGGCGTACACATACATAGTATGCGCAATGGGCATTCGTAGGCGTGCAAGTTCACGCGCATCAGCGCATTGCGTGTGCAACCCACCTACCCAGACCCCCATAACAAAGGTATATGCCGCTCGTCAACGAAACTTGGCGAATCTCACATCCGACATTGACACGCGTGGAGACCTAAGTACATTTACCGTGCAGAGGAGGCGTCTGGGACTCGCTCTCGCCCGATCTGGATCGCCTTTACAATCACTTACACGCGGTGTGCCCGCTGAAATGCTCTGAAGCTCCTGGGGGCCCTGTGTACGCTGGAAGTCTCTTGCAGCCCACTTTGACATCTTAACCTTCTGGAGGGAGCGAGAGAGAGAGATATAGAGATAATGTACGGTTGACCCTCCTATGAATAGAACCACTCGTGGAAACATAGATCCCGTCCCCGTGCCTCTGTCCTCTCCTCCCCTTCCCCCATTGCTGTCCTTGTCTCTACCCCCCTCTCTGTCCCTCCCCACTCCCCTTCTCATTTATGATATCTCATGTCTGCTCTATCTGTCACGTGTCTCGCTCCTGTCTCCTCTCCGACGTCCTCCATATCGCCCTCTTTCACGTGTCCCCTCTCCTCTCCTCCACTCCTTATCCCCCTTCCCATTTCCTCTGGTGTTCTTTCCTGTCCTGTCTGTGCGCCGTTGGCAATGTCTGAGCCCTTGCAAGGACACTCTAAGGAGCAAGCGATCATTTCACCTTCTAAATCTCGAACGGCTTCTGTGGGGGGCGGACTATATTCAGAGACGTCTCACGCATACGAGTGGCAGTGAGCTGCTAGCTGCTCCTGCAGATACCAAGAAAGGGGGCGGGCGGTATCACTCCAGGAGGCGTCATGGCTGCATGGCAAGAAACAGCAACGACAAGCAACACGGAAGCGCAGAAGTTCCGCCTGCTCTCGTAAGAGCTGCTTCTCCTCGCCGCTGGGCGGTTGCCAACCCTGGTCGCGCCGCCTGAGGTCATCGTGGGTCAGCGCCTCGTCCTCGGCGGAAGAAGTCTGGCCGCCATTGGCGACGACGCCCAACAACACGAGAACATCCACCACGGGTGGGGAATGATCAGAGTGGGGAATGAGAGGGGAGTCGAATGAAGATGAGGGAATCGGGAGGATGGGTCCTTCAGCTGAGCCAACCAGACTAACTTCTCTTCATTTCACGAAGCGGCTCTGTTTCACGACATAATGCCAACGCAATTCGACCCACAGTGTCGACTGATCCGTGAATGAATAGCCCGCCGACCGCGTCAAGCTCTCCACTACGACCGATGAGCCGTCGCCCACATGTTGCACACCGCGAAATTACGCACACCTTCACATTGATGGCCGCATGTGCCTATACACGCCCAGGTGAAACAATCTCCCCCGTGACTGAGCTACACTTCTGAATTTCCATGTCCGTCCGATCCTTGTACTTGCCCTTGGGGTCGGCAGGCATGGCGGGCAGCGCGGTGGCGCTGGCCCGAGGCACGTCGGGAGGAGCGGCGATGCGGCGGGGGACGTCTTCGGTGCTGGGCGCTTGCGCTGAGCGCCCCGAGAAGCGTGGCCGGCTTGAGAGGGTGCCGAGGGGACTAGAGCATTTCAATCGATAGAGAGGACCTTGCAGACAAGCTTCCGCCGCCTTCCACGCATCGCCCTCCGCCTGTTCGTGTGTTCAGCTCTCGTGCCCTCCCTCCCACCCTATCAGCCTCCCGCCCTGCCTCCATTCCGCCACTTGGCCTCCCTTGCCTCTCGCCCCTCTCCTCCCCGCCCATTCACCCCTCCGCTCCCTCCGTCTTCTCCACTGCCTTTTTCGCCCTCCTCCTCCTCCTCCTCCTGCTCATCCTCCCCCGCCTTGCTCATTCTTCCTTCTCCTCCTCCCCTCGCCTGCCCCACCTGTCGCAGCCATGGGTTGTGGCACTCGCCCTTTCAGATGTGAGCTTGACTCGCGCCCGAGAACGGCATGAACCAAACCAGGCCGTCTGGGGCCCTCTGGGGCGCTGCCTCGCCGAGGAGGTCCCCCGCCGCGGCGATGCCCTGGCAGGCGCGGTCGTGGCGCGAGCCGCCCAGCGAGCCTCGGCGCCAAACAGGGATGAGGGCCGGGGATGGGAGGGAGAGGGTAGGGGAGGCAGGGCAGGGGTGAGGAACGGCTGAGGGGTGAGGTGAGGGAGGGACGCAGGGGGGGGGATCGGGGGATGGGTCAGGAGCCCGCAAAGGAGGAGAGGGAGGGAAGGAGCAGGGGCGAGACTCGGCCCCCTTGGAGAGCGGGCGCGCGCACCGGGTACTTGTCCCACCGCCACGCCTGCTTGGGATGCCGCCACGCCTGCCTTGCCCCTGGGAAACGGCCAGATGCCGCCACGCCTGCCGTGCCCCTGGGAAACGGCCACAACGCGCCCCAACTGGGCGCGCACAATCCCGGAACCAGACTCAGGAGGAGCCGGCGTGGCGTGGGCGGTGTGGGACGGGGACTCCGCGTCCTCACGACCAGCGCTGTGGGCGGGCGGGGGGGGGTGAAGCGGGAGGTGGAGGCGGCGGGAAGAGGCGGAAGGGAGGCAGGAGGAGCTCAGCGCGAAAAGGTGCCGCGGCGGCGGCCTCACCTGGTGCCCAGGCCTCCTTGCCAGCAGGGGTAGGGATCCCACCGCCGTGCGATGAAGATCGGCGAGGATCTTCGCGGCGGCAGCTCCTCGCCACGCTGGTGGAGGCTGCGAAGTTCGGCAGCAGCGGAATTGGCGCCCGGCGCAAGATGAAGCTCCGATCATCAACGGAAATGCGAACATTGACCTGACCATACCGCCGCGACCAGACAGTGGGCTCGTGCTAAGACGAAGCTCCGTCCAGCAAGGGCAGTGCAACAGCTGAACTGACTACATCGCCGCGCCATGGCCACCTTTAGCTCATGCCAGTGACAGTGATCACTAGAAAAAGAAACTATAGGGACACACACACACATTCAAGCCGACGAGGGGGATCAGGAAGAAGGGTATGATATAGGAGAGGGAAGGAAGGAGGAGAGAGGGAGAGCAGCAGCAGAAGCAGGAGGAAGAAAATGGATGAGGCGAGGAGGAGAGAGAACTTACAAGGAATCATTGCAAATAATGGCAAGGCCGACTGATGAAGGAGACGGAGAGGAAATGTAGGAATAAGACGTAACATTACTAACATGAAAAATAAGCAAAGCACAAGGACCGGCAGGATGAGGAGCAGGATGAAGAACATGATGAGAAACAGCATGATAAACAACACGAGAAGTCGAGGAGGCGGGCGAGAAGAATCAGAGCCAGAGGCGTATGGGGATGTGGGAAAAAGGTGTAAAGAGAAACGACGACGTAATCGCATACTAGGAGCTGGAAAAAAGAGCAGTACAACTAGGATCATGAGGACTAACAGGAGGAGCAACAACAGGAGCCACAGGATTATGACAATATACAGGAGGGAGATATCGTAAACATGTGTATAGTGAAGAGGGGTTATGAGGGAGGTCGGGAGGAAGAAGAGGTATCGTATCTTGGCCAAGTAGATAGGTCACCATAATGAATGACTGTCACGTTCAGTGGCCAGCTGGAGAATCGCCGGCTGAAAAGGTTCTCTTTTACGTCGGCGATCCTTCCCCGTAGCCATCTTGCCTCAAGGCTAAGGCCCTTCCCTGGCTAACATACTCTCGAGACTGCAAGTCTCTGATGTCCGCCACGGCTTCTCCGTCCCCTCAAAACGGAATCTTAATCGCAACGACTATTGCATGGATGCAGCCGCTGCGGGGAAGCATGAGCCGTTCAAATCCCCTGATAAGGAGAACCTTGGAAAGTTGCAGCTTTGGCGGCGACTGCAGGAGCTGATGTTTATCTTCCACGCGAGCGCATGAGAATCACGCCTAGCCCCCCTCTGACATACGGCATGGCACTGCAAGCGCGGGCAGTCACCACTTGGCCCCCTCTGACCAGAGCCACTGCACGGCACCACAGCAAAGCAGTACACACGCGAGCCCCCAAGTCACAAGCCCAATGCAGCATGCGCTCCCCAGGAAATCTCATGGAGGCATGCCGCACATGATGATGATGATGTTGTTGTTGTTGATGCGAATGCTGATCATGATAGCTACGACGATAATGGTAATGATGGGATAATGGCGATGATAATGATGACGACGATGGTGATGCTGCTGATGATGATATTGATGATGTTGAGACTGACGGTGCTGATGATGGCGCTGGCGATGATGATGACGATGGCGACGACGATGTTGATGATGTTGATGATGAAGATGATGGTGACGATGGTGATGATGATGGTGGTGATGATGATGCGTCATCACCGTCATCAATTTATGAGTTTCACCTCGCACACTGAAGCCTCGAAAAATAAATACATATCAACGTCCTGGCCACCTTCTACTTCCACAAGGACTTGCCCGTGGAAGCGGCCTACTGTTGTCAAGACTTCACAGAGGAGAACATGCCCTGCAACGAACCCTCTTACTCGATCGTGCAGGGCTTCACAGACCGTCGGATGCATCTTTGCGACAAGGATGGCCTGAACCATAGCATCCCCATACTAACCACAGGTAGCCACAAGAGTGGCATCACCATAGCGGTCTCAAAGTAACAAGAAATTTGCTCTCATGCCCTGGTCAAGGACGACTTTGACGGAGTGCATGGCACCTCCACCATGACCAGTCTGAATGACACATCGCACATAGAAGCCTGAAGATAAGCGCTGGTTCCGGTTTTTCCTAGTCCCTCCTCCTCCACCTCCTCCTCCTCATCCACGTCCTCCTCCCTCCTCTCGTTCTTCTCGTCCCTCCCTCCGAGCTGGGGACCCTGATGGTACTCAGAGTCTGCGCTCTGGCATGGTAGTCCGAGACGCGAGCAGTGTCAGAGGGCGAACCGTATCATCAGATGCACCAGGCTGGGCTAGTAGCTTGATGCTGGCACAGACTTCGGTGGCGCGCGATCTCCTCCTCCTCCTCCTCTTCCTCCTCATTCCCTCTGCTTTCTCTACCAGGTCGCGGCTGTTGCCGTTCCGCGCTTGCCCTTTTATCCTCGTCTCCCTCGCTGCTGGTTCCTTCCACCCTCTTGCTCCTCGGCTTGAGCTCTTCCCTTTCCGATTCAGTCTTTCGCTCGCTACGCGCCCGAACCCCTTCTCGGGGTGGCGGAGCGCGTCGGGATCGCCTGCACTGAAGCCGAGGGCCGTCCTCTTTTGTTGGTTCACTCTTTTCGCAGGCATGTGAGTGCCAGTAAAGCCCCCGAATGAGGCGGTTCCCCTTGAGGCGCTGTGGACAAGAACGTGTGATTCACGTCAGCGGCCGCTCCACAGGAGTTATCGGTACGGTCCCTGTTGCCCGCGCAGATGGGAGACGTCGTTGCAGCGCCGCGTTCGCACCCGTGCTGGTGCATTGGAACGGGATGGGGGAACACTGCGTCATCACCACCGCCATCATCGTTACCATCATCATCGTCAACATCA